CCTGGCACAACCAGAGCTGGACAGGACTCTGAGGAGCTCCTGACTGCCCCTGTCACTTTGGAACCGAGCAAACCCACCCTGCAGCCCCCAAGGGAATGCCTGGGAGCCATGAGGAGCAGTGACATTACACCCCTGGCTGTCAAACCCCTCTCTGGGAAGCTCTGAGTGCTGCCCACCCATACCCAGGAGTTTTTCCTCTCAGCTGTCACCGCGAGCTTTACAAACCAGCACAGGCTTGACCTTGACTCTCCGTTAAGCCCTGCCTCTGCTCTGCTCCTGTCAAGCTGACAGTAACTCCTTCCTGAAGCTGCTGTCCCTGTCCCAAGCAGCTGCCAGGGGCTGGCTGGGGGCCAGGCAGACACTCACTGTTGCAGGGCACCTCGTCCGAGTTGTCCCCGCAGTTGTCCACGCCGTCACACCAGTAGCGGCTGGCGACGCAGCGCCCGTTCATGCAGTGCAGGAAGCCCTTCTTGCACTTACGGCTGCCTGCCGGGGAGGAAGAGGAGGAGGAGGAAGGGGAGAAGGTGAGGAGAAGGAGGGCAAGCACCCCTGAGAGTCTCAGATCTTTGGGGAGCTTCCAGCAGGGGAAGAAACCACAGAGAACCAACAGGGAACCTATTCCTTTGTGCAGAAGGATGAGGGAACCTATCCCTTCTTGCACTTCTGGCTGCCTGCCAGGGAGGAAGAGGAGGAGGAGGAAGAGGAGAAGGAGGGCAAGCACCGCCGAGGGTCTCAGATCTTTGGGAAGCTTCCAGCAGGGGAAGAAACCACAGAGAAGGATTAGAGAACCTATTCCTTCTTGCACTTATGACTGCCTGCCAGGGAGAAAGAGGAGGAGGAGGAAGAGAAGAAGGTGAGGAGGAGGAGGGCAAGCACCCCCGAGGCTATTAGATCCTTTGGGAGCTTCCAGCAGGGGAAGAAACAACAGAGAAGGATTAGGGAACCTATTCCCTCATGCAAAAGGATTAGGGAACCTATCCCTTCTTGCACTTCTGACTGCCTGCCAGGGAGGAAGAGGAGGAGGAGGAAGTGAAGGAGGGCAAGCACCCCCGAGGGTCTCAGACCTTTGGGAAGCTTCCAGCAGGGGAAGAAACCACAGAGAAGGATTAGGGAACCTATCCCTTCTTGCATTTGTGCCTGCCTGCCAGGGAGGAAGAGGAGGAGGAGGAAGAGGAGAAGGTGAGGAGAAGGAGGGCAAGCACCCCCGAGGGTCTCAGATCGTTTGGGAGCTTCCAGCACGGGAAGAAACCACAGAGAAGGATCAGGGAACCTATTCCCTCTCAGATCTTTGGGGAGCTTCCAGCAGGGGAAAAAACCACAGAGAAAGACCAGGGAACCTATTCCCTCATGCAGAGGGATTTGGTTTAGTTTGGCGCCACAGTTGGCATCTTCTCTCTCACAAAGGTGGGATCTGCCTGTGATCACCTCTCACCTCCTCCCTGCACTGTGCCTTGCTGGCACTCCCAGCTCCTGCTCTTCCAAACAAGCACATTTTCTGCCAAGGTGTGTGGGTGAGCAAGGCAGCAAGAGGAGGAACCTTACTGCAGTAGGACTGCTTCTCGTCCGACTTGTCCTTGCAGTTCACGACGCCGTCGCAGGTGCGGCTGAAGTCGATGCATTCTCCATTCCCGCACTCAAACTCCTCGTGCACGTTGCAGGTGGAATTCACAGCTGGAAAAAACACAGGAAATGTCAGCTATGCCAGGCTGAGATCAGCCTCACCCCTTCCTCTCCTCATTCTGTCCCATCCTCCTCACCTTTGCAGGTGAAATCCTCCTGCAGGACGCGCTCCCCGCGGCAGGAGCAGTTGACGTGGCCCTTGGGGGTGAGCAGGCACAGGTCCTGGCAGCCACCGTTGTTCACCCGGCACGGGGACAGCTCACCTAGGACAGAGGGACACTGGTCACACCAGGGATGGACCCAGCAGACCCTGCTCCCCCTCCTCCCTGCTGTGGGATCCCTCCCCAGGATCCTCCCATGGGGCTATGGAGGATGTAGGGGGCTGGAGGAACCTGGTCTCCCCAGATTTTACAAGGAAAAGCAGGAACAGGGCAAATGCTCTCTGCCTTCAGCCTGCACTGGGTTTGGGGATGGACAACTCTGGTGTGAGAGTCATGAGGGGGCAACAACAAGCTGGGAAGGATAGGGGGGATGGATTCCCAAAAGGCTAAGAAGGATTGGAGGGTGGATTCCCAAAGGGCCAGAATGGACAGAGAGATGGACATCCATGAAAGGATGGTGGCATGGGTTCCCAAAGGAACATGATGGACAGTGGGACTGATTCCTGAAGAGCCAGGAAGGATGGTGGGATGGGCTTGCAAAGGACCATGATGGGCAGTGGGATGGATTCCCAAAAGGCCAGGAAGGACAGAGGGATGGATTCCTGATGAGATGGATTCCTGAAGGACCATGGTGGACAGTGGGATGGATTCCCAAAAGGCCAGGAAGGACAATGAGATGGATTCCCAAAGAGCCAACGAAGCATGGTGGGATGGGCTCCTGAGGTCCCAGAAAGGACATTGGGATGGGTTCCTGAAGAGTCATGAAGGACAGAGGGATTGATTCCTGAAGAGTCATGAAGGACAGAGGGATGGATTCCTGAAGTGCCACGAAGGACAGAGGGATGGGTTCCCCTTCCCTAACCCTGCTGCCAGGCTGAGGAGCAGAGCTCAGGGAGCCTGCAGGGACCCCAGAGGGTGCTCACAGCTGTCGGTGTCGTTGGCCACGGCGATGATGCCCATGGGCTGCTGGGGGATGTCCACTCTGAGCAGCTTCATGTCGGTGCCCACGTATTTGTTGGCGCGCTGCACGGCCCGGCGCACCCAGTCTGTCCAGAAGATGTAATCCCCATACACGGCCAGGCCAAAGGGGTGCACGGGCTCCGACTTCAGGATCACCTGCCAGGCACAGAATCGTGGCATGAGTTGGGTTGGAAAGGGTAAAGTCATCTCTTCAAACTCATCTCGTTCCCACATGGGTGGATACACCTTCCAGGGTTGCATCCAACCTGTCCTTGCACACTTCAGAGAAACCCTGAGGTTGGAAAAGATCTCCCAAGATCAAGTCCAACCTGTGACTGATCCCCTCCAGAGCACTCAGTGCCACGTCCAGCAGTTCTTTGGACACTTCTAGGGATGGTGAAGTGTCCACTTCCACCACCAACCTGGGCAGCCCCTTCCAACGTTTAGAAATTCCTTCTTGTGTCCAATCTGGATTCCCTGCCTCAGTCCAGCAGTTCCTTGGACACCTCCAGGGATGGTGACTCCACCACCAACCTGGGCAGCCCCTTACAACGTTGAGAAATTCCTTCTCATGTCCAACCTGAACCTCCTCTGATGCAGCTTGAAGCCTAGTCATCACTTCTCAGGGACACAGCCCAAGTGGGAGGAGAAGGAACCCATTGTGGGGTGCAGCCCCAGAGCCCTCCACACACAGAGTGACCTCCCCAGCCCCAGGAACATCTCTGCGTCCCTCTGCCCACACTCCAGCCCCAGTTTGGACACCCTCCTCCCCACCGCCCTGTCCTCAGACTCACGTGGCGATGGGAGCCATCGTATTCGCAGCGCTCAATCTTGTCCAGGGTGGCATCAGAGAAGTAAATCTTCTCAGCCTTGTGGTCGATGGCCAACCCGTTGGGTGTCCGTATGTCCTGGTCGATGATGATGAGGACGTTGGCGCCGGAGAGGGTGGCCCGCATGATGCTGGGGTGCTGCTCGTTCCAGTTGGTCCAGAACATCAGGCTGGGAGGGGAGGGACACAAAACACCTTTGGAGCACCAGCTCAGCCCATCCCTCCAAGGCTGGGAGGCTTCCAGGGACTGGGGGATGCATGGGATATCATTACCACAAAAAACGAGTGGGAAGGTGCTGCGGCCAACTGGGAAATGTGGCACCTCATGGATGGGGATGGGATAAGGGGTTTGACACCCAAGGCCTTTGGAGCCCCAGCTCAGCCACAGCCAGGCTGGCTCAGCCCATCCCTGCATGGCTGGGGGGCTTCCAGGGACTGGGGGATGCATGGGACAACATTCCCACATAAAACCAATAGCAAGGGGGTGAATGAGGGTGCTGCACCCC